ATTTCAGAATTAGACATCCCCAGTTATTAATTTCATAAACTCACCAGATCTGAATATCCTGTTAAAAAACTTCACATCGCGTTCCCCCCTGATGTCATTTACGCTGAGTTGCAATAAATGCAAAACTCTCTGCAGGTTCTTGTCTTTGTCGTCCGCTCTATTCAGCTGGCTTTTGAAACACACGGAGAGAAGGTGGGGGCTGGGTGGTGAAGGTTATGGGGGCGAGAAACACAAAAGTAACGCAATAGTTACTTTTACTAGTAACTAGTTACTTTTATTGTGGAGTAACTCAGTTAGTAACTAGTAACTTTAACTGATTACTTTTTCAAAGTAACGTGCCCAACACTGTTCATAAGTATACCATAAACCTGTCGTTTAATTCCAGGGCTTTTAACCAGGCTTGCTTTAGGGTTCGTATAACAGCAAATATGCCATTTTCAGCCCAACCAATGTTACAAACCCTATTCAGACACCTTAAGGATCAGCACCAAATACCCAATATAATCATTCTATGACCCCTTTAACATACACCAATGATGATTATTCTTATCCATTACCTAACAAAAGTGATGCCAAAGTATTCTCTGTTTCAGCTGTTGAGACATTTGACCGGATTAAACAAACAAACAAACAAACAAACAAAAAATTGTGTAATGTGCTTGAAAGACCTTTCGGGTGTAACTTATATTTCACAACCTAAGCGCTTTGAATTTCAACAAGTCTTTTTATGAACTAACATCTGAAATTCAGTTATGATACTTCAAAGCACCATTCATGTTGTGTCCAGACCTTTAGACATAATGACTTTTCTATTTTAATATTGATATAGGAGTTTACAGCATCAACATATCTAACATATTTGATTCAAATTGTTGACTTATCTTGCCACATTAAATACATACTGTATACCTAATTTTATCCACATGTCAATTATTTAGAAAGTTTCAGTTTTAATTATGTATGTTACTGTTATGTTTTATCCTATCCACCTCTAACAGTGAGCGTTTTGTTTAGTTTTGTCAGTCATAATGAAAGCTGCTAAGATATTTCTCTGGATGTTATCATTATATATATGTTGTCATGTAAACAGTTCACATCACACCGATTGTGACCCAACAACCAAACTGGCCTCAGATATTCAGAGGAGAGACAGTCACTCTGAGATGTGAGATCAATGGAGGTGGAAGAGTTCAGTGGAAGTATGAATGGATTCCAAGCAACGGTAACTCTCCAACATCCAGTGAATACAACATCACCGCAGCTGACAGTAGAAATTATCGATGCAGAGGAAGAACAGGTGGCTATATTACAACAGAGTGGGGACTTCTCCGAATAACTGTATTAAGTAAGTTTCTTAGGTTTTCATAAATTATCTTTACACAATCATAATTATTTTTTGACTTTGATGTAAATTAAATGATAAATCTTTGATGAAATATTTCTTTATAAAAGAAAAAATGTGCATGAAACTTAATATCAAAACCTGGGAATCAACTTTTACATCAGATCACAATCACCCACAATAAAACATGAAGAAAAAATAAGACTGTGCCACAGTTCTACACTAATTGCAAAACATTTAATTAATTAATCTCAAATCTCTTTCTTGGTAATGTAGAAAACAAAGTATTGATTAATATTACAACTTTAACTACTGATATCAAAGCTAAATAATACATTGTTTTATAACACAAGCTACACAATGTGAGTGTTTGTCCAGCATTCATGAAAATATTATGATGTTTATTATCACTATTTATTTCCAAATCTTTCGCCAACAGCATAATTTGCCTCTTAAACACAATATGTTCTCATGGGTAACTTATTATTGCAATATTTTAATGATTGTTCTAAATATATTTTGATACATTATTTATGTGTTGTGATTGTTGATAAACCTTTTATTCCCTTCAAATGTATACTTTTGACCGAACGCATAAACCTACTAATTCAAAAAAATTGCTTGTTTGAAATACTTATAAAAAAAGATGAACAGAAACTAACAAAACTGACTATGACAATGTTTTACTAATGTGCATTTCAAAACTCTTTTGGTTTGAAATTATACATATGAAATGGTGTCAACAAGTATTCACTTTAACTGCCAATTCTTTCACCTATCAAATAAAAGTGAATGTAATGCAGGAGCGTGTAGCTTTGCAGACTGGTTTTAAAATCAAACAAAATAAGATAACTCAGAATTTTTGTTTTGTCAGGAAATCAAAAGTACATTAAATAATTATCACAGATTTAGCATATTAGCAAATTTTTTCTCAAGTAGGCTATAAATCAATCAATCAAACTAGTTATAGGAAGTTTTAAACGCATAATTTGAACAAAGTAACCTTTAGGGCAATAAAAAACAAAGAAATAGAACACATCTAATATCAATACAATACAGCATCTACATTTAATAGAATAACACTAAATGTAGTAAAAACAATATAAAACCTAATGAATAAATCTATTTCTAACACCAGCCTGATAGATCTAAACTGGACTAGGAAGCAACTTCCATAAAATTAGTTTTTAAAAGGGACTCAAAATAATTTGAAATACAGACTATCTGCCCTAAGTGTTGGTTATTTGTTGCTATGTGTCTATAGTGTATATAACAAAAGCTGGAGAAAGATGTATTAAAAAGTGACAACAGTCTGACAAATAGTGCTCATTTATTCACCAGGCGCTATTGTTTAATGATAAACCACATTTAAAATTACCTGAAATAGTATAATTAAAGTCTAAGTTCAGTGAAAACTGCCTGCCTGGATATATTAGACAATAACGAAAGAATTTAAAAAATCCTGGGATTAAGAAATAATACTTAAAACTTTAAAAGCTATATGCTCTGTTATAGTTTTGAAAACTGTGATTTTTGCATGAAATCATACAATTATTTAGAAATAGAATTTGACAAATAGAAGTTGGTCTTACAAAATAGTT